AACCTCAGACCTTAACCCCACGTGCCAGCACCTGTGAAGGACCTGCCGGCACAGCCAGTGACAAAGTGATCCCAGCCTGGAACTAGGCAGAACATCTCGCAGGGGTAAGTAATCCCACTGCTTCTCCTGCCCTTTCTTTGTTGTCTTCACCAATTACTCTACTGTATTATAAACACATGTGCACTGCAGGAAATTGGAGGAAAAAAAAAAACCCAGAAAGATTAAACTAAAAATAATCCATAATTCCTCTGCTCAGAGACGATTACTTTAACATTTTGGGTTTGGGTTTTTTAATGTATATAGTCACACATCAAAAAAACCACACCATCTTAGACATATTGTAGCACAGCATGTTTTATGTCACTTAATACTCATTGAATAATCATTAAATACAGAATTACAGAAATGCAAAGATTTATTCTAAAAATAATGAAATAGCAAAAAACTGAAAACAAATGCTCAATAAGAGGGCATTAAGTTACAGGGTATTCATGACAGAATATTAATCATTTTTTTCTATTTTCTTGGACTGAATCCTTAGAAGTAGATTAAAGTGCATATGTTTTTAAGTTTTTGTTATGTGTTTCTCTTAGGAAAACCACTAAATTAGTCTTTCTAGCAATTTTTGAATGGGCTCATTTCTCCATACCCTCATCAGAGTGTTGATTTTTAAATTTATGCCCAAACTTTAAAAAAACAGTATCTCACTGACTGGCATTTCTAGGAGTACTGGCAGTGAAGCTAAAATTTTTTCCACTTTCCTGCCTTTTCTTTTAAAAATGACAAGTTTGCCCAATTTTTCCATGGGGGGGAGGGGAATCCTCTTTATCTTTTTGGTTTACATGCCTTAAACCAAGTGGTTAATTTTCCTGTAAGTTTGATATTTCTCAGTTTATCATTCACCTTTTAATTCTGGTGATGGTATTTTAACATACAAAGCCTCTGTATGTTAAAATACCATCACCAGAATTAAAAATGTAATCAAATGTAAAAGTAATCAAATGAACCTTTTCCTTTACAGTTCTTTCTCTGGGCATTATGCTAAGAGAGGCTTTCTCCATCTGAGATCACCTGTAATATCTTTTGGTTCTTAAAAGAAACTTTTTTGAAAATTACTTTAAAAGCACACAAGTTCACTACCCTAAAATTACATTTCTTACTTTAAATATTTTTACCAGTGCATATGCACTTTATGCACACTGATTTTATAGTGCTACACACATTTCATACAATGTTTTTCAAAGAATTTTCTGACACAGGCCTTTTAAAAAATTGCAGCTTGTTAGATCTGCAAGGCTTTACAATGACTTTATAAATTTTACAAGGTCTGTGAGTCATAACATTACACCTAATTAACAATAGTCCCAAAGTTCCAGTCCCAAATTTTGGAACTGTTCATTTCTATCCCATCAGTGCCCAATTACTCTTCTTCAAAGTCCACCAGTTACTAAAAGACCAAGAAGAACAAGCTCAATTCTCAGTAGTCAACTAAGTTCTGCATAATGAATTCTGTTGTAATGATCAATTACCAGATATTCATCCTTAAAGCACTTTCATTTCAATCTCTTCTCCTCTTCCACTGCCACATCAAATACTCAAGGAGCGCCTGGAGCTCTGAGTCCCTGTATAGTTTTAGGTTCACCACCTAGTAGGCCTGAACTTAGCCACCCAAACCTCAGTTTCTTTGACTATGTGCTGCCAGGTCAATTAAAGAATAGCACCTACACTTACTGGGGCTTGAAAGGTTCCAGGTGGGAGGATGTTCATCAACAAAGTAGGAGTTAAATGAGCACTGACCCTGGCAGGGTCCTAGGCACAGCAAAGTATAAAAATACAAACACATTTGTAAGTTTTGGGGGGCCAAATTTTTAATTTGAAGAATGGTAAGTAACAGCTCCTCAGTTAAAGCCCATTCATTTTCATTTTCCATGCTGAAAGAAAAGCACAATGCCTGCTGGGTATACCAGAAATGGAGTTCTGATCAAAGGCCCTCAAGACTTAAAAATGGTCTCTCCCCTAAGAAATGCCACATCAGACTCTAGTACCACCTCTGGGTTTATTTCATTTCACCAACAGGGGCAAGTCTCAACTACCAAAGGATTTCATTTCAAAGGCAAGGTGCCCTATTTAACTTGGGGGGAAAGACCCCAGTCTTTCTAAAAACAAACTAGTTTTAAAACTAGTTCTGAAGATAAAAAAGTTAAGTTTCACAGCTTGTTTTCTGAACACTCTCCGGGATTTCCACGGCTAAAGAAAACCTGAGCATTTTTCTGCTGGGGCACTGTATTAGATTCTGGGTGCTATAATTATATATAATACAGCTTGTATTCTTACCAGTGAATGTTTTCTGCAGCCCAAATCAGAAGTGTTTTTAAACACTGGAAATAAGCTAGAATTGTTCCAGATTTATTCACTCAAAAAACAACTGAGGTACCCATGACCAAGTTCCTATGCTACCTTGGGGATGAGAAAATAAACAATATACCCTGCCTTCAAGGAATTCAGTCTGAAATGTATGGGCCATGAGGCTGTACTGATGATCAAGTTTAAGCTAATTATCTCTACAAGGTAATAACCAGTAAGAGGCAAAGGACTTTTAGGGGCTGTGATATCTAAGGATATCAGACTCCACTCAGGCATTCAATCTGTCCCTTAGTCCTCTGACGGGGTACCCTATAGGAACGGGGGACATACCTGTAAAAAACTGAGCATATGGCTCTGAGAAAGGGATATTATAAGCTGGTGAAAACTCCCAGTATAACTAAAGTTTGTATTTTTCTTTTGGCAAAGTAATTTTAAAAATGTGATGCCAATGAGAAAAAAAAAAAAAATAACATTTTTAGAGAGTAATTCCACCACCCCTCTCAAGCTTAATGAGCATTCACTCTCCTGAAACCTCCAAAAATGGGCATAATAGAGTTAAAGCAAGCCAGTCTTGTGTTTGCAGGCTTCGGAATTTGAAATGCGATGCAACTATTTCGACTTGCTATAGAAAGCAGCAAACTGAACTTTCAAGTAAAAAATCTTTCTAATAGCCAAGAACCTTCTTTCAACAAAGGAAATCCTAATATTTTTCAAACAAAATGACTGATTTTGCTTTTTAAACAACATTCTCTATTTTGCTCCATAACCCGTATCAGAATTTCAGAGTATCAGTTAGACAGGTGGCCATAATACGAAGGGTTCAACTTGAAAGTGGATACAGTTTTGAGGCGTGGGAAGACAGGTTTAGGGCCTAGAAGCTCTGGTCGTAAAAGTGAATTTAGCTCCCCTTCTGTCACTAAGGTAAGTGCACTGCAAAACAACGTGACCATTTACTCCACCAGTAACTTTGCTTTAACGCCTCTATGGGGAAGAGCAATTACAGAGAAAATAAATACTTGAGTAAGTTAACTGCAGTTCCGTGACTGCACACTTACCACTAACCCCAACTACGAACTAAAAGCAACAACAGGGATCCAATCGGAAAAGAGAATCCTATTTTTGGCAGAGAGCTCGCCAAAGAGAGAAAACGCTTAACTTCAGAGATGAGTCTCAGGAATGTTCACAATGCACTTTTCACTCAGCCCCTCAATCACCACTTCGTCTACATCACAACACTGCCCAGGTGGCGACCCCGCCCCACGCAGCGGCCCGCGCCCGGGATACCTGCGGGGTCGACGCGCGCTCCCGCTGGGCGCAGGGCGGCGAGCGCGCCGAGGCCCGGCCAGACGCGCGGGGCGGACGCCGGGGGCTCCGAGCAGTCCGTCGCCGCACTCGCCTGCCTGCGCACTTCCCGGCCCGCGCCGCCAAGGGCGCGGAGCAAAAGGGCCACTGTTACCCAGGAATAGCGACCTACACGGTCGCAGCAATGCAGGCGGGGAGCCCAAGAGCCGCGGGCTGGGAACCGGGAGGCCGGGAGCCCGACTCCGCGGCTCCTCCCGCGCGCCTGCCCCGTACTTACTTAAGGACACGGGTCCGGGGGGAAAGCGACGCTCGGGGCCAAGTGATCCCGAGGGGGGCGAGGGAGAAAGGGCACGAGCCCGGAGCCCGGGGCCCCCGCCGGTCGCCGCACGAGGGGAGGCGCGGCGCGCACGCGCGAGCTGCCGGGGGGCCGCTCGCCGGCCCGACCCCGGCTGGGAACGAGGTCGGCGCCACAAGGCCGCCGCCTCGGGCGCGATGAATCGGGCTTTTTCCCAGTGCGTAGTCTGGGCCTGGCCACCCCGCGTCCGCGTCCGGGGCTGCGGCCCGGCCAGGCCCAAGCCGGCCGGGGTGACTCAGGGCCGGGCCCGCGCGCTCCCCGCCGCCTCCGAGTGCCCCGGCTCGGCCGCCATTCCTCGGGGCCGCGGCTAGGCTCGGCGGCTCAGGCCTCGCCCGGCGCCGGCACTCGGCCGGCGGGGCCCAGCCACTGCGACACCGCGGCTGCGGCCCGGGCCTGCGCTGCCGCCACCGCCTCCCCTCGGCCCCGGCGCCGCCGACACTCACCCGCATGTCCCAGGCGCCTAAAGGGCTCGTCGCTGGGCCTGGGCCCCCGTGAAACCCCGTCCCGCCGAGGCCTGGCTGCGTCCCTCCGCCGCCGGGGTCGCCCCGCTGGAGCTGCGCGCGGCACGGCGCCCGCCTCCTCCTCCGCCCTGCCCTCCTGCCGGCCCTCCTCCCGCCGCCGCCGCCGCCGCCGCCGGCTCCGCGCACCCTCCGCCCCCTGGCCGTCCTCCGCGGCTCCCCGCCCTCCCGGCCTCACCGGCTCCGGTGCCGTGGGGGAGCGGTTGCGGGGGGAGGGCCGGAACGCACCGCCATCGGCGTCCGGGGCGGAGAGCCGGGAAGCCGTCGCCGCCATCTCCGCACAAGCCCGGGGCGCGGGCGGGGCCCGGAAACCGCCCGCCCGGCGCGGCCGGCCGCCTCGCGTGGGTTGTTTCTACCTGAAAGCCCGTGGCCCCTTCCCTGGGCCCCGGCGCCGTCCCCGGCCGGGCGCGCCGGATCCTCCTCCGGACTTTACAGCCTCCGCTGCCTGCGGGCCGCCTCCAGAGACCCGGCTTCCCGCCACTTGGGACCTAACGAGGAGGGGTCACCCTCCGAGGCTGGGGGCGCCCTGCGGCCCCTCGAGTGCGCACGCAGCCTGAACCGCCCCAGCCCCGCTACAACTAAAGCCCATTAAGACGCCTCCCTGGACGGGCAATAACCCAGAGCGAGATCCCCGAGCGGCTGAAACTGCCCGGCCCCCCAAACCAGGCGCAGACCTCCGAGGAACGGGTAGGGGCTTCTCGGGCCCCCTTTCACCGGCGCACCTGAGTCCCTGGCCTACCTGCGCGGCTCGCTCGCCCTTTGCAAAAATCAAACTTGCTAAACCAAACTGGGCTTCCCTCGTCAAGCTCTTTAACCAACTCTTTTTTTTGGCAAATGACAATCACTTTACCGTTAATCTTTGTAAAGACCAATTGAAGAATAGGGTATGCGGTGTGACTAGAAAATAGTATTGTTTTCACGTGTAGTCTGAAGTAGTCACTCATTCATTTGAAATTAACTCTCGCAATGTAGTACTTAAAGTACTCTAAATGCAAATTTTGGCAACACAGCCACTGGGCTTCCTCTGGTGACAGAGTTGGACAGAGCATGGACTTGGGCCTCACTTAGAGGCTCCTGCTTCAATACCGTGGCTCAGAACATGTGACGTGACCTGGCTAATTCCGTAAACAAGAAGCAAGGAAGGATTTCAAATTAGCCTATCTGGGCAAAAGATGTGATGAATGTGACTGCCTGTTTTGCAAAAAACTGAAACCCTACAAAGATTCTAGTACCACCCTGGAGCAGAAATCCTAGGCCCAGAGCAGAGGGCTGTCCTCAGAATCCACATTGTTTCTGGAATAACATGGGTTTTTCTCAGAAGAAATATCCCACCCGTGTGTGGGGGTCCTCCAACTGAAATGGGGTGTTTCGTCAGCCTGTGTTAAGTATCTTTACAAGTATTGTATTTGTGTCTACTTAACACCAAAGTATGTAATCTCAGTCTCTGTAAAGGTATAACAATTCTTGGTTTATATCCTATACTTCTAAATAACCTAGTCAAAAGAAAACTTAAGATATTATATATTCAACAACTTTTTTGTGGGCACATAGTAAAATGGAAGGCAAAAATCGAATGCTTTTCCTTGCAACGATGCTTCCTACTATCCATATCTGGCTGCTTTTATATTTTCCTTTCTCCCCCTCTCTGAAACCTGTGCTTCCCTCAGAAAACATTTTCATCTCCATCCTCCCTAACCTGTCCCCCAGTCTCATCCTTCCACAGGGTCTCCTTGTCTGACTTCCAGCAGCAAAAACTCTTTACTGTTTGCTTCTTCTATCCTCTATTTTTCCTTAGTGGAAGTATTTAGTCCACCTGTATACCACCCTCTTCACTTCTCACACTGCCGTAATTCTTGGTCCCTAACTTCTTTCTGTGACTCTCCATCCATCTGCACTGTCATTCTCAGCAGTTAGGTGATCCCATTGACTTTTCTGCCCACTTCACAGCCAGGTTGTATTTACACCCCTTCTCCTCTGGGCAGGTAACCCTGTCTCCTACCTAACAGAGCAAGGCCACGGACTCTCTTTCCACTCCACAACATCCTTCTTCCATCTTCCTCCCCCATCTAAGCAAAATTGATGTCCCTCTTTCAGATGACCCAAAGTTCGGAGGGATGATAAACTTCATAGTTGTCAGAATCCAAATTCAAAATAATCTCAGACTAGAATATTAGACCAAAACCAATGAAATAAAATATGACTTTATGAGCCTACAGCAATATGATGAAGTTCAAAAAGCCTAAGTTTCAAATTTTAGGCAGGCCTTGGTTTATATTCAGACACAAACTCCTATCTTTTGCTCTAGGTAAGTCCAGTGTTAAATGGGGTAATGATAACCACTTCATAAGGTTGTTGGGAAGGCAATTCCTTTATAATTCGGTCATAATTCCTGAAACATCAAGTGTGGGTTCCCTTGCTTTCCTTGTTTTCCATGAAGTGGAGGTCCACTGACTCCCCTACTGCTTTGATGACATTTTCCAAGACATACCAGTCTGAAAACAAAATACCCTTTATTTTGCAATCAGAGCTAGTCACCATCCTAGAGAAATCCTTTGTCTATTTTGGCTCCGTCTGTGGGGGCAAACATTATCATCCATCACACGTGGAAAAACCTAAGACTTGGAGATCATAGGCATTTTGCTCCCAATCACTCAGCTTGGTCAGTGACGTAGTCTGATCCACTGACTCCCAAATCCACACATATTCACTACTTTACTTTTTAAATATTTTATATAAAATAAAAATTTTAAGTTTCCTGCACCTACATTGTTCCCTCAACCTTCTAAATGGTTTTCTTGGTTCTGATCTCTGTCCTTCCAGCCTGAACAATGGCTGACTACAGGTGGTTCCTGATACTTTCACCATTATATCTTTGTTCTTTCAAACTTTTCAGTGGCTCCCATTGTTCATATGGTTCAGTCCAAACTCTGAGCGTGCACTTCAGGTTTACCATAAGTTTGTCCTAACTTACTTTTCCAAATTTATTTCCAGCCACTTCCCAAAAGGAACTCTCAACCTCACCCAGTCCCATTGGGCGACTATAGTCCCGCAAACACCAGTCTTGAAACATCATTTTTGAATGCTTGCTTCCATTAATTCCTTAAACAAAAATAGTTCCCTCCTCCTTTCCTACATCTGCAAATCATGCTCCCTTTTCGAGATCCAGCTGGGGGAAGCCTATTTTGCACCTTCTACCCAGGCTTTTGTGTTCTTACCCTGAAAGATGATCAAACGGGGTGGTTTGTGCCTGGGGCCAGGCAGTCCTCCCTAAAGCTCACCGGGCCTCTCAGCACTGTGTCTGAAAAACACTGAAGAGTGTTCAGACATACTTGTTTACTAATTCAATGAAAGGGTACTGTGTCATTTGACTAGCAGTATGAGCTGTTATTTCTAAGGCATTAGTAAGGAACTAGCCATTCAGTGCAAAGTAAATTCATTTAATGGGGTAGTTTCCATACCTGGCTTTGCTTCAGAATTACCTAGGAACTTGGATACTGATTTCCGGGCCCATTCCAGATCTGCCGAGTCAAAGTTGGGTGGGAAGCGGTAGAGAAAGAATTCAAAACTACCGGAGTTTATATCTTGGCCTTACTACCTATTTTTTGGTTTATTTTGAACAAGTTACTTAACCTCTCTGTGCTTCAGTTTCTTCACCTAGGAAATGGAGGCGATATTATCTCATATGAGATAGTTGTTAATTAAATACTTAATAAAATTACCTATGATGATGACAGTGATGTTGATGATAATGATTATATAATTATCCAAACTGGTCTGGTGACTTGAGTTTGGGAACCACTGATTTAATTAACCACTCCTTCCTCTGTTAAAGTTTCAAATATTATGAGCTTAAAACATCTGGTATTGGCATTATGATGTATTATAATAAGACTTGTTTTGAAATAGTGTGTTTTAAGGAAGAGACATCAACTAACCAGATCTTTCTATTAATTTGCTTATTTAATCTAAATCATGAAATGTACATTATGAATGATTTTTTGAGAAGCTAGTCCCTTTTAGAAATATAAACTATACATAAGCTATAACTATACAGAGCAATTCAACCAACTTAGTATTCAAAGGAAGCAGAAAAGAGATGAAATAATATCATGATTTCTTCCACTGGCAACAATGAGTCATAAATTCTTTTTGAAGTGGCAGGTTTTTACATCGTCTACTTTAATTCATCAGAAAAAAATCCATAGTTCATTTTGGTCCATCAAATTCCAAATAAACAAATATTTTAGTATATTATGACATATTAAATGTAACCTGGTAGAAAATGGGAAGCAGAAATTTTCTTACCAAAGTCACAAACTAAGTATATCTGAATGTGGAACATAGGGTGGGTAGCCCCACCTTCTCAATGCTTGATTTATAAATGGCCTATACAAACAAATACACAAAGGCCTTGTTTTTATTGCTGGGAATTCCACCCAATTCTCAGTATCCTCTCATAAAGACTCAAGTAACTCAGGGTGGTAAGGCTTGAGCATTCACACTGAGCATTGGCTTGCTCAATCAGGTTGTCTTCTTTAGAACACAAATCAGCACTTAAAAGAATAGAAAGTTTTGGGACAAATCAAGTTTGGGAGAAGCACTGAATGCCTCAGGGCAGGCGGAAGACCTTGAGGCCAGAAGTTCCGGAGACAGGAGCTGTAAGCAAAGAAACTGGGGCAAGGGGATGGAAGTATTTAAAAATCGAATCTGTCCAGTTTTCAGATTTTGCTTTTGACTCCTTCATCTCTTGATTTGGGGACCTGTAAGACAGAAAATACTGTTATAAGATAGTCATGAATTAAGTGAGCTTTTGAGGTCTGACCTAGGGGACCTCAGCACCATCCTAACATTCTGTAGGTTGGACCATATGAAATTGCAACTCATTTTCAAATGATTCAGGTTAGCCTCTGAGAGAAAATTATTCAGAGTTCCAGAAAATTGTCCTAAAATCACTTCTTCCAGGAAGCTTTCTATGACCTTCCACCCCTCCACCCAGCTTCATGTCCACACATGAATTACCTGCCTTTTGTGATTATTTTATACCATGTACTTACTCTTACTGAAGAGCTTATCATGGTTGCATTTTAACTTTACCATTCTCTATTTCCCACTCCCTCACACGTTGTGAGCTCCTTGAATTCAGAGACTCTGTTTTTTATTACTGTATCTCCAATATATGATAAATTTTGTATATACTGAAAGAAAGGTAGGAACCCAGCTCATGGATTAGTTGGGATTGTTTGTACTTGAAACCCGGTCAGGCCACCTTTCTGCTCAAAGACCTTTAATAATTCGGTCTCCTATCAAAAGAATGACAATCACCTCATTCCTAATATTAAATTACCCCCTAAGCTTTGGTGTCAATCTATCCAGACGTGTCTCCCTCTGATTTCTCATATATACCAAGCTAGATCCAAACTGGACTCCTGTGAACGCCCAAATGGGCCAGCATCACCTCATCTGACCACGCCTTCCAGGTCGACCGCTCTTCCCCAGCTACCTACCCCTCAGAATCCATCCTCCCGGGCCCACGTGAAAAGCAGTCAGCCTAGTGAGACCACTCCTGCTCCTCTGCCTGGTTGAATCCCACCCCTCCCCTCACACTGGGTCAGCTTCTTGAGGACATTCTTGAATTAGGTGGTATCCCCACAAAGCTGTATTAGTCAAGGGTCTCCAGAGAAACATAACCAACAGAAAGAGAGAGAGAGTGTGTGTGCGTGTGTGTGTGTGTGTCTATGTGTGTATGTAAAGAGAGAGAGAGATTTATTAAAAAGAACTGGCTGGTGGGATTATGGAGCAGCAAGCCCGAAGTCTGCAGGGCGGGCCAGCAGGCTGAAGTCCAGGAAAGAGCCGATGTTGCAGCCCAAGTCTGACAGCCTCTGAGGGCGTAACTACCTGCCTCTTGCTTGGGGAGGGGTCAGCCTTGACTCTAATCAGGCCTTCAACTCATTCAAAATTCACAGATTTAAGTGTGAGTTTCATCCAAAAACACCCTCACAGAACCAGAGTAATGTTCGACTGATACGGAGGCACTGTGGTCCAGCCAAGATGACACATAAGATTCATGTGTGCAAGCACTGAACAGGATACCCTGGACATAGCAAATGCACGTTATTCCTTTAAAAAAGCAGGTTACATTCATTGCCTCAAGTTTCTTACCTCCTAGGGACCCAGCCCATTTCTACCTACCTGTTAAGTTCTACCATTTCTCTTCTGCATTGGGTGCCCCTTCTACCCACCCCTCCATCTTGAAACTGGTTCTCCATTGGCTCCCAAACCCCTGCACTGGTGTGGCTCTTCTAACCTCTCTGAGAACTCTTTCTTCATCTGGCTCTCTTCTACCCACCACTTCAATGTGAGTTCCTAAAAAGGTTCTAGGCTTGGCAATCTTCCCTTACTACATTCTCTTTTTGTGCAATCTTATCATTTCCATGGCTTCAGTTGTCAACTCTATCAAATTATCACCTCAGACGCAATCCAGAACACATCCAAGTTTCACGGCACCTGATATTCATACAATTCGGGGAGGGTGTCCTCTAAGCAAACGTCTATGCTGGGATGCTTCTCAATAACTTCATGATACATGGAAACCACATAGATGTAGCCTGTTAATTTCAAATGATATTGTATTCCTAACTCAGCTTCCCCCTAAACAGGTTCCCCCGAATGCCTGGAGTATGCCAGTGCCACCGGTTCTGAGAGGAAGGTGAGCAAGAGGAATTTGGGGTGGAAAGAGGTAACAGTCATAGTCTTAATCAGTTGTAGCCCCAACAACCTACAAATGCCTGTGACGGTGTGGATGTATAGCTTAGGACCCCTGCCAGGGGCTTGGAATGGCTCATGCATGGAGGATCCCTGAAGCTCAAGCTGCACGACCTTTAAGTGTATCTACCTCTGCTGCTGTCTTCAGCCTCGACCTCCTCCACACTCCAGGTATGATGTTCTACCTGCCTGCAGACCCCTTTACTTGAGTGCCCCTCATAGTTCACATCACTGACCTCAAACAAATCCCACTAATCCTCTGACTCGTCCTCCACACAGTCATGGCATTATCCTTCTAATGACTTCTGCGGGAAGCAAGATAGCATGGGCTCTGGAGCTAGACGCCTAGGTCTAAAGCTTGGCTGCACTGCCTACTAGCTCTTTGACCTTGCACATCATTTCATCTGTGTGTGCCTCAATTTCTTCACCTGTAAGATGGGAATAATGCACACCTCCCAGGTTGGTATTCAGAAATAAGTTATTGCATTTCATGGTGTTGGATAGTAAGCATTTGGTACATGGCTGTCAGTATTGGATAGCTCTCCTAAGAAACCCTTCCAGTGGCTTCCTGTACCACAAGAAGACATTCAATAATAATCTTCACAGTGTGACCACCACCTCTTGGTCACACTTCCAGCCAGCCACATCTCTTCCTGGACCATGTGGTACAGCCACACTTGACAACCAGGCAGATCTCCCCAGAAGTTTGGGGACTCCTGGTAATATTCTTTGTTGGAAATGACCTTCTCCTTTTCTATTTCCCTAAAGAAATCTGAGTCATTCCTCAGGTCCCTAATCCCATGTTATTTTCTCTGTAACATTTCCTCAGCCTCTTCTCTACCCTCTCTGTGTTTTCACATAGACATTGGTCAGAAGTCCTTTGAGAAATTCCTTCTCACACCAAACTTGCCTTTTCAATTGCCAAAAGTGGGGTTTATGTTTTGAGCCACTGTTCTTGTATTGCGTGTAACGTAATATGTATAAAGTGTATGTTGGATTTATCCAAGTTTCTATTGGCATTAAGTGGAAAGAACATTCTAGTCATGAATGATGAAGTACATTTTCCAGGTCATACTACATTTGTGCCAGGAAAAACTTTATAGGCCGTCAACACCATTTATTTATATATTTTAAAGGACAGTTACAGTATTTAGAGAATGAGTACAACAAATTTAAGAAATTCCAATGACCTTAGAGCTTAGTTTTCTTGGTCTGTAAGGTCAGCTGCTTTTTAAGTCAATATTTACTTTAGGGATTAAAAAAATGGATGCTGAAGAAGCCTGCAGACTGGAGTTCTCAAGGAATAGATAATAACCAAAAGAGGTGTCATATCATACCATACCATTTTGTAGGGGAGATTACTTTACTCCCTCAGCCCCCATTAGTTTTTTTCTGTGGAATGGCAAGTAAGGAAACTTCTTTTGAATTTGCATAATTTCTCTGTCATTTTTAAAGTATGAGTGTTTAATTAATTCAGCCTTAGAATCTGGATAAAGAGCGCCTGTCTAGTTCTGCTGGCAGAGTAAGTTCAGAAACCAACCTCTCACTGTACAATGAGAACCGCGTTTCGTTTTGGCTGATCATGTCCAGAAACTTAGATCGACATCATCAGCCACTGTTTGAGCTCAGCAGCGACAAGGCCATCGGCAGGTTTTTGGCTTTTCTGTTGATGCCATCAGCCTTCAAGTGTACTTCTGTGAGCTTAAGCAGTTAATCAAGAGGGAGATACCAGAATGAGAACAAAAGTCCCCCACCAACCCCCCACAGGGGAGCGAGAGATACAGCCTAGGTGGGAAATCAGTATCTAAATACCCAAGCGAACACCCAGACCTTCCATCCCTTTTAGAAGTCAACCCATCTTTTCCATTCTTTGGTCACTGGTATTTTGTTTTATTTCTCCTCTTTTCTAACAACTCTAACCTTTCACTAGGAGATTCGAAGCAGGTAAAAAACCAGCAATCTGGCTCCCTAGTTTTTAAAAGATGGCTTCACTTAAGTGCCTTTAAATTAGGAAATGCTATGTGAACAGTGCAAAAGGATTTATATTCTGAACCACCAGCAAGCCCACCTGGAAGAGACTGGCAATACAATAAGTTACTCTGAACCACAGACACTTAAGTTTTCCTGATAGAATTAGGTGAGTAGATATAAAGAGTGGATGTAAAACTCTAATGGCTAAAATAATTTTTTAAATTCTAGGGTATCTACGGTTTTGAGAATAGAGTAACGCATTTGCTGTGATGTGTTTTTGAATAAGCACTTCATAAACCACTTGCTAAGTGACCTACTCCACCCCTTCCCCCTGCAGTAAATGCTACACTGTAGCTTAGACACAGGTGTAGGGTGGCTGGTGGCTCTTACCCCATCAGTCCCACCACAGCTGGTACAGGCGAGGTTTTCCAGCCCTGCCCTCAGTCTGAGAAAGATGAGAGAGGCAAGGAAGACACTCCCCTGGGAAAAAGACAGACTCCCATCCCAGCCTGAGCCTGAGACAGGGGACAGTGGAAGGAAAGCACACAGGAGGGGGCACGCAGCTCCCCCTTCTTGGGTCTCTTCAAGCTGTGCCCCTGGAGCAGGTGGCGTCTCTCATGACAGCCCCTGGCTGAATAATCCCATTCCTCTGGTTTCCTAGAGTTCACGCCTGCCTGGGCTCTCTTTCTGTGGTTAGCATTTTCTAGCTCTAAGCCATTTGGGAACAGATCTGTGCCCCCCCTGCTCTCAGCTGCACCACTTGTCCCCAGCCCACCTTTCCAGGCTCACTTCCCGCCCAGCCCCTCCCACTCCCGTACCTTAGACCCACCCTGGGCCGAGCACTGTGCATTCTTGCACTTGGCTTCCTCTAGTTTTGCTAATTCCACTTGGGTGCTCGTCATGCTCTTGGGTCCATCTGTTGCTGTCCTACTTGTCTTTCAAATCCTAGTTTATTTATCACCTGTCAGACTTCCCAGATTCCCTCGGCTGCAATGAATCTCGCCCTCCTGTGTATTCTCCTAGTTCTTTGCTTGGGCCTGTACAAAAGACACGGGTTCTGGTTGTTTGCATTTCAGCTGCACTAGACTCTAGGCTTCGTGTGTTTTCAGCCTCTTAATCTCGTCTTTCACAGAGAAAAGATTTTCATTTAGATGCTGTCTAATTTACCAAATGCCCCTCTTCTGCATCATACTTTTAGTGTCAGGTCTAGAACCCTGCACCTTGCCGTAGATCCTGAAGTTTCATGTTTCCCACTAGACCCTGGAATCCATTTTGAGTTAATTCCTCTATGAAGCCTGAGGCTTAGGTTGATGTTTATCTTTTTGCCTATGCCTATCCAATGGCTCAGCACCATTTACTGAAAAGCTATCCTCCTTCCTTTGAATTGTTTTTGTGACTTTGTCACAAATCAGTTGAGCTATTTGTGCCCTTATATTTCTGTTCCATTGAGCTATGTGTCTGGACTCCAGGTGCCCTGACACTCTGCTGTCTCTATATGTCTTCTTTTTTAGAGGCCTTTGGTCTATTGCTTACAAGCAATAGCATCTAACTCAGTGCCTGAAACTAGTAGATATTCAATAGATTTGTGTTGAAAGACAGAACCAATAATAAGTGCTTTGTAAATGTAAGTTCAGTTACTACTTAATTAATTCTTAAAATTTTGAGAATCAAAAGAAGTCAGACTTCTGTGTCCCTGCATCCTCAGCATGGCAATAACCTTTTTGCAGGCCTCTTGACACAGAAACTAGAGGCCCTGTATGTCCTGCACACTTGGAGGGCCTCTTGCCCACACAACACCTGGGCTCCCTCTGCATGTAGCCCTGCCCCTGCCTGTGCCACCTGCACCACACAGCCGCAGCACACCCAGCCCTTCCTCGCCTCGAAGGCTTCCTACGACTCCCTGTGGGGTCCAGACTCTCACTCCACACCCCACTACCAGCTGCTGATGCCTGCTCCCCACTCTCCCACCTGCATGTCGGAAGGTGGCTGAGTGCTGGCCCAGCACCTCCAGATCAGCTCCAGCCTGGCCAAACCAGCGAACTGCTCTGCTGTCTGGTAGCAGAGAACCACACCTTCTCCACGAGGCCTGAACCCCTTCCAAGTCTGTCCCTCCTGGGGTACTCTCCCTACCCTAGGGTACCAAATAGAGTTTCCTGTCTTTCATCATTTCTAGCCGCCCTTTCATCATAAGTAATAATTCTTTATATTTAGCTTCCCTGTTTCACCTACCATGCGGCTTCAGTCTCCTGAAGCGACCAAGACTGCGGCGCTTGGCCAGCCAGCACCCTCGTCCGGCCCGGGGCCCGGTGACAGACGGTCCTCTTCATCTTGCCGCGATGCTCCAAGGCCCAACTCTGGAAGCTGTAACTTTTAGACTGCAATGAATTAAGTCTGTGACAGTGGAAGGACCCAGGACTTTGCAGTAAAAAGCTCAGAGCTGAAGTCTGACAATATTCAACATGACATGGGCCATCTTGATCAAGTCGCCTTATCCACCACACCTTAAAAGGAGAATGACTGTGATAATACTTCAGAGCTCTCACAGGCTGATCAGTGGGATAATGCATGTGACAGCTCTGCTCGTTGTCATATACCTATAAATAGTGATCATCTTCATTTAGTCTTAAGACAAACTATGGAATGAAAGATGGTGACTCCTGCTGAGTGAATTTCAAACATAGGAACAGTGGAGGCCTTCTTCTGGAACCATATCACAGAGGCAACTGCCCTGGCATACCACTGGGCCCAGGCACATCTACTGAACTGACCGCCTCCCCCCTTAACAGGTACACTGCCAATAATAATTATAAAAGGTAAAATAAGGATTCTTGATTTACTTTAAAGACAAGGAAAGGAAGTTAAATATAATGGACAGATTACAGAAGAAAAAATTCATTATTTAATTAGGAATCCTTGCTGTTCAGAAAGCTAAAGCATATTAAAATTATTTTTGGTATAATTATCTGAAAATAGCACTTTGTTGAGAGATGAATTTTCTGAATATGTCAATTTTTCATCAAATAAGTTATTCTCAAAGAAAGTAGCAAGATGGCAAAGAGTTTGTCTAATGTCATCAGGGATGTTGGTTGGTTCTACTAAAATAAGCTGTCATCCTTTAAAACCCATTATTTGCTTGGGTAAAACTGTATAATACTTTATCTGTTGCATGTCACTTTTCTCCACCCAAAAAGATCTCAGTTTCTGGTTGTAGCAGTCCTCAGAATTCATGTTCTTTGGTGACTTAGAGTATGTCCACAAATTATTTTATATTCCTCCCTTTAAGAGGCAGAGCCCAAGTCCTCTTGTCCTGAGTGCATGCTAAACTTAGTGACTTGCTTCTAATAAAGTAAGTAAAAGTGACAATGTGAGCCTTGGGAAACTTGGTCCTGAAAGGACCTGTGGTTTCTTCCTCGCCCCCTCTCTTGGATTGCTGGTTGGTGGGGGGTGGCGCGGAAATTAGCTGTCATGCTGTGAGATCTACATGTGGTAAAAAACTGCAGCTTCCTGCCAACTGCCACGGGAGGGTGCCATCTCAGAAGTGTACCCTCCAGCCCCAGTCAAGCCTTCAAAGGAATGCAGCCCCAGCTGACCTCCTGACTGAAACCACACAAGAGACCCCAGCCAGCTAAGCCACTCCCAAATTCTTGACCCACAGAAATTATGAGATATTTTTTATTATGGTGTGAGGTGAGGTTAGGGTTTAGGTTTATTTTATTTCATTTTATTTAGTTTATTTTGGTATCATTAATCTACAGTTACATGAGGAACATTATGTTTACTAGACTCCCCCCTTCACCAAGTCCCCCTTACATACCCCATTAGTCACTGTCTATCAGCGTAATAAGATGCTGTAGAATCACTACTTGTCTTCTCTGTGTTGCCCAGCCCTCCCCATGACCCCCCCTACATTATACATGCTAATCGTAAGGCCCCCTTTCTTCTCCCCCACCTTCTCCCTCCCATCCTCCCCAGTCCCTTTCCCTTTGGGAAAGTTAGTCCTTTCTTGGGTTCTGTGGGTTTAGGTTTATTTTTATTCCACATGCATATCCAACATTGTGAGCACCATTTGTTGAATGATTGTCCTTTGCCCATTGAATTACCTTGGGACCTTTATCACAGATCAGTCGGTCAGTGGGAGTTATCCCAGGAATGCCAGAGTGGTTCAAATGTCAGAGTGGACCCTAACGTTAATAGAATGAAGGAAGAAAACACACAGTTACCCCATTTACATAATCACATTATCTATACATGATGTAGGAAAAACATTTGACAGAATCCAATACCTTTTCAGAATAAGAACACCCAATGAATTAGAGAGAGACGGGAACTTCCTCAACATGGTAAAGGCCATATATGAAAAGCCCAGAACTAATATACTCGGCGGTGAAAGACTGAAAGCTTTTCTCCCAAGATCAGGAATAAGATAAGAATGCTTACTCTCACCACTTCTACTCAGCATAGTGCTGGAAGTTCTAGCCAGAGCAATAGGCAAGAAAAATAAAAAATATCCACATTGGAAATGAAGATGTAAAGCTATCTCTATATTAAGATATGATCTTGTAGAAACTCTAAGGAATCCACAAGAAAAACTTTTAGATAATAAATGAATTCAACAATGTTGAAGGATAAAAAATCAACACAAAAAATCTGTTGTTTTCCTATATACTAGCAATGGACAATCTAAAAAGGAAAGTAAGAAAACAATTCCATTTACATATTTATTCTTATGCCAGTACAACACAGAATTAACTGCTATACCTTCATAGTAAGACTTGTAATCAGGTAATGCAAGTCCTTCAATTTTTGTTCTTCTTTTTAAAAATCACTTTGGTTATTTAAGACCTTTTATATTTTCCTATTTCCTTATAAATTTTAGATTCTGCTTGTTGATTTCTACATGAAAGGCTGTTGGCATTTTGACTGGGATTTCTTCTTTAACTATCTCTTTTATCTCTTTCTTTCTCTCCATCTCTACCACAGTTATGACCCTAACAGAAGGCAGGATGGAGAACAGTATATTACCTTGTCCATCTGCCTTCACTTTGGTCCCTTCCTGATGTGTCATTCACACTGCAATTGGAGTGGTATTTTCAAAATATGAATCTGATCATGTCATCTTCTTCAAAGGTGTGCCATTCTACTTGGAATAAATACTAAAGTCCTTAATGGCCTACAAGGCAGGCACATATTCAAAATAGTCAAACTATTTAACAACCCATATCACACAGGTAGTGACCATCGGAACAGATGCTAGCATCGTGGAGCAGCATTGAAAAAAAATCTGTACTTCCTGCCCCATTATGCTAGATAATCTTTTGGTTGCCAGATAATGGGGAGTCCCGAAGCAGGGCTCGGAAGGTGGACTGGGGGAGGGGTGTGTGGGGAACGCTAGGGTAGCTCAGCGCAGCAGCTGTTTATCAACTGGTACAGAAGTATGTCACTGTCTTAATGTCAGCGTGGCCACACTGCTGCAGGCTGGCTTACTATCTGGCCTGCTTCCAAGGCATTCTGTGGGGTGATTTCTATCCACCTTTCTGGTTTTATCTCCTGCTCTCCCTGCTCTAGTCACACTGGTCCCTGACTTCCTTGCAAATACCACATTCCCACTGTGGAGCCCCTGGCATTCTGTTTCCTCTGTGAACATCCTTCTTTCTGTCACTTAGCTAACTCCTACTTATCTTCCCTATGTTGCCTCTGACACAGATTCCTCAGGAAGCTGCCCTGACCTCCCTGAAGAGCTAAACTCCCAGTGAGAGTCCCTCATAGCACCATGTCCTCCTTTGCCATTGTCACAGCTGAAGTTTGCAAATGTCTTTATGTGGTTACTCCTAATTCTCTCTTGTAAGCAGCAAGAGGGCAGAAATCATGTCTTCTTTTGGTTTCCATTGTATCCTCACTGTCAATCCAGTGACTGGCACACACTAAGTGCCCAATAAATATTTGTTGAATAAATGAATGAAAACCAAACTTAGTACCTTTCTTCTCAAGTCCATTCTTTCTGAATTTCCCATTTTGCCTAATGGCATCAGCTACCTAGGCCCCATAGCAAGAGACTTAGAAATCATGCGAGGTTCCTCCTTAATAGTCCACCATTTGAGATAGATACCAAATCTAGTTGGTATTTATCTCCTACATCTGTTACTACGTTAGCTCAGGTTGGAATCATTTCTAGTCTGGATTAGAATAGAATTCTCCAAACTCATCTCATTACCTCCAGTTTTGCATCTGCTCTGTCTATTTTTCATACTGCCCTTAGGGTGACCCTCTGAATCTGTCTAGGTTAGTCCCCCATATAAGGTGCTTCAGAGTCAAGTTAAAACTCCCTCATGATCTGGTTCCTGCTCACCTCCAGGGCCAATCAACTGCAACCATTCGCTGCGTATCTCCTGCGCTCTCTTGCTCCTTTAGCGAATAGAGGCAGCCCTGGGTCTAGGACCCAGGTTTATTTCGCCTCTATACTTAGAACTCAGCATCATATCCGGCATGGAGACAGCAAACACACAGATGTTTGTGGTATTGAATGGAAATGAATAAGACTTATTTTTGTCCTGGTATGCTATCCATCACAACAGTGCAGTACTGCAGGTCATAAGATGTGGATTAAATTATATTTATAAACTTAATTGAATACATTGCACAAGGTATTCAAGGGAGAATGATTATGATTTAAACATTTTGACTCTTATAGGCATAGTTGTTCAGATATTTTGGAAAGTTATCTGTGCAAAATCACATTCTGTAGGTTCTTGGGATATTGGGGGAATTTGACTATGGTTTAATAATATAGTGTTTCCCTGGTGTGTGTGTGTGTGTGTGTGTATGTGTGTAGATTAGCAACATTTGTGAATTTGACATGTTCTTTCTTAAATTCTGCATTTACACAATTTTTCTGTTCCTTCAAATTATTGTCATATCATAATCTTGCAAACGTCTAATTACTTGTTTTTATTTGCTGCTCTGAGAGATTGTGTTTGGAATTAAAATTAAATTTAGGTGTCATTTAAAGTGTGGCTAGAGCAGTCCCTAGGCAAAAATGTATGTGGTTCAACATGCAATGGGAAGAAATGATGCCAGCAGGTTCCACAACAGATGCAGCCTTAAAGGGGGACCAAATTTCCATCTGTTGAAGGCAGCTGGCCCAACGAGACTGAGAAATCAAAGGAGAGGGCTCCAGATACATGGTATACATCTCCCTTAAAACTAGGAGACCCCAAACAGTAGTTGAACAACACAATTTGAGGAAGCAGTTTTAGTGAGGGCGGGGCAGTGCCTGGGGAACAGCTGTAGTAGGAAGGCT